AGTTGTTGCTGAGTTTTGCAAGATTTAGACAAAACAGCTTCTTAACGTTTAAGATATACCCTGTCCTGTCCCAGGCCTTTATTACTTTATTAACCTCCAGGACATAAAACTTTGCCCTTCCCTTTTCTCACTGCTTCCTTTAATAAACATAACCCAATGGAAATATACGATTTGCATATGAGATGAATAAAACCCAATGAAAACTCATAATCATTTGCTTTTGATCACACATAAAAAATATAGCTTATTTTGGTGTGAAACCATTTTTTGACAGGATTTGTTGTGTTTAGGGTATCTCCAGAAACTCTACATCAAAACGGTGTGATCTGAGCGCAGCTGGAGGAGTGTTTTTGAGGCTCTGTTTCAGATGTGAGGCAGGACAGCCGGAGGAGGGAGACAGTGACCACAGAGATGGGAGCGGCTTTTGCACAACTTTCCTTTATAATCCCTCACAAACACCCGAGCGCTCACACGCTGCTGCTCAATCACTCCTGTCGTTACTCCCCGCCGCCGCTTCTGCATGGAAGTGATTAGCAAGCCAATGAGACAATCTGCTAAATAGCTTTCGTCACACAGAACCCACGCTCAATAAGCTGCCATATCATGTACTGCAGTGACAAATCTTGTGATTGAATTGCCACTTCACAGCCTCTTCCCCATCCTGCTTCTTGTCTTTTGCTGACTGCAAGCGGGGCAGTGTAGATACAGGAGTGTCGTGTTTGTGTGTTGTTGTTGATGTGAGCCCCGGGCTTTTTTCTCTGATCGGGAAGAGCCTCTGCTTCTGGGCCCTAATGCCTGCCTTTTAGTCGATGCCAAGACTAAAATGACTCCACAGGAGCTCCGCAACAAAAAGAGCAATGCCTCCCTCCCACCATACTTCCTTTACTAGCATCCTCTATGGCTGTGATGATTAAAGACATGCCTTAATGTAACATAGCTCTAAAGAACCGTTTGTAATGACATAAAATAGGCTAAATAAAAGCGCAAAAACTAAGATGACATACTCAGATTTTGTGCACTTCTGCTTTATTGAAATGAATCTGAAAAATATGTCATGCAATATCCCAACCATTGTTTACTCTGCCCAGTGACCAGAAGCAGACCGAACTGACTTAAACCCATTAGACATATCTAGTACGAATCATAAACCAGGTGCCTCCATATCAGCCTGACTCAGATTTCTCAGACAGAGGAATAGTGACACTTCATTCACTATTAATGTTATCATAATGTATTATTGTTGTCCTTTATTTACCTAGGCTTGTCCCAATGAGATCAGAGACCTTTTTTTCCACAAGGGACACTGAAACTTTTCTTTTTACAAAGGAGATTGGGTTAGTGTAAACCAAAAATAAAAGACATACAGTTGGTTTTAGTTAAATATATTTAAAAATGTTTGGAAATATATAACCAGTTTGTTCAGTGTCCCATACATGCAGTTATTTAAGAAAACCTTAGTATATAAAACCTTTATTTCCCTATGAACAACAGAACGTGATGAGAGTAGACGGGACTGAATTTTATGACCATCTCTGGTAACATTGCTGGACAAGGTTGGGATTTTTTTTTACTGTTCTTGAAATGGTAAGGAGCTCATGTTTCATTTTGTCTTGATTTAGAAGTAGTTGCCGTTGACGCAGCCTGTCTTGAACTTCAAGTCAAAGCAGTTAATGAGAGTGTCATCAGCACAGAAATGAATAATTGCTTCTCCTTAGAATCATAGCTAACAATATTTCACCATACATATTTGCTCACAAACCAAAATATTTTGCTGATACAATTATAATATCATCCTGGAATTCTTTGCCCGTTCTGAGCATTTGTTGCCGAGTCTCGTATCTTAAATGAGTGCAAGGAGAAAGACCCCAGACAAGGCTAGATATTGGCCTCCTCAGTGCTGTAGTCCTGCGGCTCCTTTTTGACCATGACAGTCAACCATATAGGCGCTTTATACACACATCAGACGAAATAGCTAAATGTGCTATTTTTCCCCAGAGACCAATTCCTAATGATGAATCAGACCAGAGAGATGAGGCTGTCGCTGTATCTCTGGTCCATAAGTATCTAAAGATGCATGATGTTTGTAGAAGCAGTATGATGGTTCCCTTGGGGGTTTGCTCATCCCCTGCTGTTGAGGGATAGGTTTAGGATATCAAATGTACACCATGCAGTTACAGCAAGCCTGCAAACAGAGAACTTCTCCTATCTGAATCAGTCTTATTCGCGCAGATGGAGGTGATGTCTCCAAGTTGTGTCTAAGTAGAGTTAGACCGAATGTCAGCAAGTCTCAAGAGAGGGGAAGTAGAGGATCGTTGCGTTCACCCATCACTATTGTCATGACAACTGCTGTAAAGCGCTCGCCTGTGATTGATGTTTCAGTGCTTCCTTCTGCCTCGCCTCGTGTCATGTCAGAGAGGTTCAACCGTTTCTGCACAGTGTGTATTCCCTTGAGGAATGTGCAGCCTCGTTTGATACATGCAAAGTTTATTCAGCAGTCAAGATATCTGCTGAGTGATGGGCATTTGTATTTATTTTCTTGTTAAGCACTCTGTCCGCCCTTTGCTTTTTCCAGCCTTCATCACACAATAACATGATTGGTTCAACCCTCCCTCTCCGTGTCCCTGATTAGAGTACACATCTTCCAGGAGGCTAGGCAACTGCACTTCTCTCAACTCCTGGCTTTAAACGTTTTACCCTCAGAGAATAGGTCGTGTCACTGCCAACTAACAAAATAGCTTGGCCCATTTTCTTGAACGGCTGTTGTGTCAGTCAGCTCCTTCTTGTCTTCTTTTAAAGGTGACAAAGTGCAGCCTGGTTTTCTCCCATCAGACGGCTCCATTAAAAGATGCTAAGGCACTTTCAATACTTTAGATGGGGCTTTTGTTCTGTGTTGTGCTGTTTTACCTGACACTACTGCCTTCTATAGAAAGGGGAAGACAATGCTGGACTTGAACAACGCCTGTTAGATAAAACTATTGTCTGTCACTGAAGAGCTACTGAACCAATGTTTAAATAATTGGTTCTATGCGTAGCTGTGCAGCTGCTCTACTTCAAGACAAATCAACAGATACATTTGAAATGAATGGTTAATGAATTACACATTGGCAAAGTTTTCCCCATCACTGCAGCCTCTGAACAATCCTCAATGGCTGTAGCTCTGGCATGGTTGTTTTTTAAAATCTTGGTGTTGATCAGAGATGGGAAACCACTAAAGGAACATGTAGGCTACTTGTCACTGTACTGGGGACAAATGCTGGCACATCTGCAAGAAGATAAATGGAAAAACCTGCAGCAGCTTTTGCCAAACTTGAAGTCCCATCGACCCATGATAAAGAAAAGACTCAAATAATAACCGTACTCATATAAGCATTCATCATGTCGTCATCGTCATTGTTCGGAATCACCAAACAACATTGTCATCCATATAGTTACGCAAAATGAAGGCCTATCTTTGCATATTCATTTGCTGATGTTAAGCACTATCTGCACGTTAGCATGTTAGAAACAGCATTCATTTGTTATATCTCATCCTGAGGGAAACACAAGATTTTACACCTCATTTCATGAAGTCAGTTCAACGGTATAAAAACAGTCGACTCCAAATGACGAAATGAAATGAAAAGTAAAGGTACACACAATAGCACTACACATACTTTGAGGGCCATGAAAGTTCATGATATTGTTGTGACACTCTGTGAAAAAGTTGTTCAGATACATCAGGTCCCGACGATGCCGATGGTCCTGGTGACCAAACATCATCGCAATGTACCGTGGAGCTTTAAGTGAAATGCTAATCTTGTCAGGCTAACATGCTGATGCATACCGTCTTAGCTTTGCATGTTAGTGTCATCACTGAGGAAGAGTGTCCATTCTGAGCATTAGTGATAATCCCGCTTACTAACCCTCACTGCACATCCATGGATGATGATCATAAAGACAGAATAATCTTCTAAATTTTGCCAAGTATTTTTTTTAATTGATATTTCTGGCCCTTCAGTCTGCTTAGAATATAGTCCAAAAAAGGCTAAATCAGCCTTTTGTATATAGATATTTTTATACACACATATATGCATACAGGAGCTCCTGCAGCTGTCTTAAAGTATCCTCTGCTCGCTTTTACTCAAACACTGTAGAATAGCTCATGTGCAGTGGTCTTATCTGTGATTAAGACCTGTACCTGCACAGTGATTTGTACTATGGCCCATTAGCTGCAGTGGCTTCATCTGCTCTGGATGAGAAGCGCAGAAAGGATTTGATTCCCCCATGACTCTCCCTCTGTGGACCCGCCCTCAACGCAGCCAGTGGTTACCATAGAGACCGTAAAACCAATCCTCTCTCCCCTTCTCAGCCCCAGTAGTACATTAAGCCGCTGCTAGGATGTTACGTAGGACCCTTACAGTGAGATAATCCTTGTTTGTTTACACCCTCAGGGTGCTAATACACACGAGAGCACACATGCAGTTGTGCAAGCGTGACAAACAATACATACATTTTTTTTTAGATTGTTGTTTATGGATGTTTTGTAGAATTACAGCCTTAATATTATACTACAATACTAATTGATAGTGTAACAAAGTTTTATCTGTGTAGACAAATCTAAATTTATATTCAGATCTCTTTTTATTTGCAAACATAAAAAGGGTATTTGCTTTCCCTCTTGTTGCACAATGTATTCCTGCCTAATAGCTATTGACCATGCAGATTAGATAAAGTAGTCCTAATGGATATACAGGAGTCGTGTCGGTTCGTGAATATAAATTAAGTAGGTTAAAGAGTTTGCGTCGGCTGCCGTTAATGAGATGTGTGGCGCTGGTTACATCATGAGACTGCTGTACGTGTGTCTTCATCCCTACTGTGACCAAGCTTGAATGAGCAGCATGGCAAGTCGGGGTGTGTGTGTGTGTGTGTTTGTGTGTGAGAGTTGAGAGTGAGTAGGTGGGTGCTTTAAACTGTATGTAAGTCAGTGTTTGCCTCAGCTTTCTGCTTTCCTTCTCCCCCAGACCAGACACGGAGGATCCCAGCCCGGCCATGACTCACAGACGACACCATCACTTGTAAGTACTTGTGTAAATGTTGCATGCTGGGGGGATTTCGAGGGATGAGGTGGTAGTCGAGGAAATGTCGGAGTTGGAATTTGCCAACAAAATTGAGAATGCAAAATTCTCAACTTGATAGAGAGTTTTTTTCTTGGGTCAATATTTTTCTTGATTCTCTAAAATTCCAAAAAGAACAATAAATGTAATGAGGAAAAGCGTTGTCTTCTGTGCATGTGCATGTATTTTTTCTGTGTGAGTGTGCATGCCATTGGCCTCAACAGACAGAGACGAAACACTTGGCTAAAACAGACTCCGCACAGACTTTTCCTCTGCACCCATGCAAGTGAAAGGTGGTCGGTATTTGCGTAGCACTGATGATGTCACACCAGCTGAGCTATTTTTAGAAAGGGGTCTGAAGGAGGCAGCCTTCCCCCCCTTTCCTAGAAGTTTATTATTATCTAAAGCCTTTCACCAACATGTCCTCTTCTCCCAGCTTGTTTAATCTCACTGTTTTGGTCAATTTGGAGCCACAACTTGTAGCCTCTCACTAAAGACGGACAGCTCGTTGCATACACATTGCCACTTAATGAATGATTTTGGACAAACATGCACCGACGAAATCACATTTTTGGAAGCTGTAATTACAGAAGGAAGGAAGACAACAGTGAGGGACGATGAACATTTAAAACAGTTAGCTCAAACAGTCATGGCTGCACCGTACAGCATGCTAATTGTTATGATCCTGATTAATATTAATGAGGAAGCTGCAGAACATCTGGAATAAGTCATGCATTCGAGACAGACTCTATAGCTACTCTACTTTAGAAGTTATTATCATGCATCTGGCTAAATGTCATAAATGATGCACATATTTTAAAATAACTGGCATGACGTTCACTGTACTGCACAGTAGCAGTCTCTGCTGTATACCAGGCATTAGGCTTTTATTTTAGGGTGGGGGCTTGTTGACCTTCTGGTAATCCAGCTGCCAGACTATCTACAAAGCTTGTATATTATTCTAAGGATGTTTATTAGACCCTTTAGTTTATCTGAAATCCTGGGAGTCATATAGACCTCATATTTTCTGCTTCACAACTGCTGGGTTGCATAAGAAGGGAAGGAGCCTCCATCTGTTCCACCCAGGGCTTGCTTTCACTAAGTAGGGTTTTTTATCATATCACCAAGCAGCCCCTCCCCTGCTCAGTCAGGGCACGGCCGTGGAGCCGGGGCTTTGGTCAGAGCCGGGGATCGACTCAGATGGCTGATCATGTGATCCACTCAAGGTCGCCAGTGGGTCTGCTTCACATGCTGGGCTTCCTAAAGTGCCCTGACTAATCACACAGTCAGCAGAGAAACACAGGTAGCATCGGTGTGTGTGTGTGTGTGTGTGTGTGTGTGTGTGTGTGTGTGTGTGTGTGTGTGTGTGTCGTTATGAAGGCTGTTTTAACTTAACGGTGGTATTTTCATGTCAAGTCTGAAGCAAGAGGAGACGACTGGCAGGTCTTAAATGTGTGGCCTTTTCTTTCACTCACTGAATGTAGCAGGTCATTTACTGACTCATAGTGGACGGACTCTTCCAAATAATCTCCACAGAGCAGATCCGATTTTTCAATTGCACACAGTTTTGGGCATAATGTGTTACACAGCAATCAGTAAGAGTGCTCGGATTACTTTTTTGGAGAAATGAGGAACGTAACACATTGTGTTCTGCAACTGACTGAATCTGTTATTTACATATTTTTTTCATAAAAGTCATCCGTTACTGGAAAATATTTGCAGTTTTTACGCACTGTTTCTGTTTCTCTCTTACTCCTGGACAGCTAGCTGTGTACCAGCAGAAAGTAAACCTATACAGTTGTGTCAGTGTGAAAGCGTATAGCTAGCTAATTAACCTAGCAAGCCGGCAGAGAGAACAGCATTCACTTTGTGGAAATATCCCCTTTAATGTTGAATTTTTGGGACAACAGAGACACGAAACAACATCATGGAGAAAATATGACTACTGTTAATTAAAAAAAAAAAAAAAAAAAAAAAAAAAAGGTTTATTGTTCTGTCAGTCCTGCTGTAAGGCTGCAGAGTTACAGATTATGAGCCGGGAACTAAAATATGCAATGACTGTATAGAGTCAATATTCAAAGGTACAGTGGGTAAAGGGCCGTCTGCACAGTATAAGCAACATCTGTAACGAGTCACAAAAGGGTTTTCATTTTTGGTGACAAGTACTCAAGCACATTTTCTCAATTTTGTAATGCAGATTTTTAATAGCAGTAATTCCATAACATAAGTCACTATGAAAGTAATGTTACCCAATCTAAATGACCAACAGACTAGCCCCTGCCCAGCCAACCTCCTGTACGTTCTCAGTTGCAAGAACAGGCAATGAAAAAATAATAAATAAACCCGGGCACACTGAAAATAACTTTACTGTGAGCAGACAACGCAGTTCGACTGTAGCTTCCTGAGGTCGACAGGTGAAAGGTTGTTAGCTCACAATGAAGTGACAGTAAAGTATTTTTCAGTATAAAGGTTTATTTTTTGGCCTTTTTGTGCCTTTATGATAGATAGGAGAGTGGAAAGAGTCAGAAATCAGGGGGGAGAGAGAGTGGGGAAGGAGCCACAGGTGGGATTCAAACCCAGGCTGCCTGCTTGGAGGCCCACGGCCTCTATACAGTATGAGGCACGTGCTAACCATAGGCTACCACCACCCCTACAGTTTGTTTTAAAAAATAATGTTTTTAATGATACCCAATATTAATTGCTCATGTGGTTCTATAGAGCTAACATAATCAGCTTTGAAATACAAAAAAAAAAATAATAAACTTACTTCCAAATTCACCAGAGGTGCCACCAATGGTTTCAGCTTTGTTCTCAAGACATTTGTCACCGCCGTCTACCAAATCAAAGTTTGAAGGGAATTATGGAAGATTTGAACGGCTGTAATCTGCTTCTCATCCGTTTTGCTCTTTCCAGGCAGAACAATCTAGAACTAATCCAATCTGTAGTGAAATAAGAAAGTGTGCAAATCAGATTTGGGGATTCTCTTCTCTCTTGACAAGCTTGTTGAGGCTCTATTCACTGACTGAGTGTCTGAGGTCCTGCCTGTAGCACTCCCTCTTGTAGCGCCAATAAATATGAGTGAAAGCCTTTGCTTCTCAGTTTGAGCTTGCGACATTATGTCTGCAAAAATGTTTGTGATTACAACGAGTTTCCTCCCATTCCAGTGGGCTGTGGAGTCAATGATCAACATATTAGAAACAACACGTTATCTTCCATTCAGACCGAGCAACAAAACATGCATTAAGAGAGGGAACAGGGACAGGGCATAGGTCACTTCATGAGCTGAGCTGATGATTTTAATGTGTGATTTTACAGTTCAAAGAAAGCATTAACAATCATGCAACTCATGAGATTAAATCAAACCAATCTGAAAAGTAAGGGAGAGAAGATGTTAATTATGTTCAGCCATTTTAGGGAAAAATGCACCTTTACTTACTCAGATAATGTTGCTTTGCAATTGGAGTGTTATATTAGTAGCTGATAATAGCTCATGTGATGCTCTGTAAATTCTGACTATTAGTCCTACTCATCTATTGAGGACGTTGATCATTTGTATTTTCTCATTGATGACGGACATCAAGTGATTGTCACAATTGTCGGTGTGTTTTTGTGACACATCTGAAGTCCAGTAAACACCTCCAGTAGCCTCCCTAAACTGCTGGGAAACACATCAGATTGATTATTGAGGATTGATTGCTATGGCTGGCATAAAGGATGATGAGTGAAATCAAAAGGTCATGAGTTATCGTTCTTACAGTGTAGTAATTACAGCCCATATTTACTCTCTGTCCCATTCTGAGCTAACAGTTATACAACAGCAACATGTTCCCAAACAAAGCAATGAAGTAATTAATGTGTAACAACCCTTCTGAGAAGTGCTCAACAATTAGGTTCAAATGGCTGTTAATTATTGAGAAATGTTGCTGTCAGACAGTGAATGGTGGGGATGTGGCTGATAAAGGGTTATACATTCATCTTTCTGTCTGTCTTCATTCTGTACATACAGAAGCTTAATAAAGCCACACATATCAGTCTTCATGACAGCACATCAATCAAAGCGTGCTGGAGTTGCACCGCTGCATTCTGGATTGATTAATTGGACGTTATTGGAAAATTCCCTGTCAGCATGTTTCCACCCAGGACCTTTAGTTTTCATCATTGTTCCTAATCTACAGTTGGCACAGAGTGGAAATCTATCCCCAGTTGTCTGCCCCTTTGTCCATAATGAATTGGCCTCTAAAATATTTAAGGGAGCTCTCCTGGTTAAAGTTTAATGTGTTACTCTAGTGCGCCTTTACATCTTGAAGGATGGCAGTGTCACACAGCCTTTGTGCTTTGCTTTAACCTGCCAAGGAAAATGACTTAATCATGGCTGAGTGTTAATGTAGCTGCAAACGCAGGTCAGGTCCTCGCTGATGTTTCGTGATTCATAAACAAATGCAAAGAGCTGAAATTGGTCCTGGTGTTCGAGCCTCAGTGTGTTGCAGAGGGAGATTCGTGTTTGTGTTTAGTATGCAGCGGCGTTGTCGGTCATGGTGATATAAGAGCGCTCATGGGGGCACGGCAGCTTTAGTTGGCAGGAGTAATTACAGCTGGAAATTGTCAGATGGTACGTAAAAATAGAGACATTCCAGCTAATTAAGAGCAACCTCTCAGTGTTGTCGTCGTGTGTGAAATAAGCCATAAATAGATCGGGCTTTTATTCGCTCTCCTGCCACCACTGTTTGTCTTGAATTGATCTGATTGTAAAGTCTCTTTCATGGCAGCACTGCAGAGCACAGCAGCAAGTATCAGAGATCAAAGTAGAACTCGCTGTCCCATAAATCTGCGTGGAGGCAGATTGTGGCAGCTGGCTTTGCCATGCTAAATACACTCGCTGTACCTGAACAACACACATCTCATGATTAGAGATATCCGGTCCCTGGAGGCCCTGCAGACAGGCTGTGGCTGCCAGGACTTGA